AGCAATATTTGAAGACTACAAATATTTGAAGACCACATAAAGATATACTTAACTCCCTAACCTAACCTGTTTTCCATAGAGATTTTGCAGAAATCACCTCCCATGCAAAACACAACACAACACAAAGAAAAAAAAAAGAAAGAAAAAATAGAAGATAGAAGTTTTATAACATGTCTATGTCATGTATGTATACATGGGAAATACCCAGCGAAATGAGTAGATCCCCAAGAGGTGGTTATGAATTTGGGCTCAAATACATTGACAATGTGGGGAAGAGTAGATCCAGGGAGGTGGTCAGAAAAAGCAGGATTAAACAAAATATTCCTTAAATCAAAGAGGTGTATTTGGGGGTGCCAAATTCTAGTTCCCACACTATTAAGCAGTCAGTTAGCCAGATCCCTCTGGAGCCATGAGGAAAGGGTCTGTGTTCACAGACACATTTTAGGGGTCCAGGCTTAGGTCTGGGGGTGAAGATGAGAACAGAATGCACCAAAGGCACTGGCTGCATGCTGTTGAGCATTTGAAATGTGATTATTGTGACCAAGCAAATGTTTTTTCCTTAATTTTTATTTATTTTTTAAGATAGGCTCTAACTCTGTCACCTGGGCTAGAATACAGTGGTATCATCATAGCTCACTGCAACCTCCAACTCCCAGGCTCAAGCAATCTTCCTGCCTCAGCCTCCAGTGAAGCTGGGATTATAGGCACATGCCACTAAGACCAGCTAATTTTTGTATTACTTATAGAGACAGAGTCTTGCTCTTGCTCAGGCTAGTCTCCAACTCCTGACTTCAAGCAATCCTTCTGCTTTGGCCTCACAAAGGATTATTATAAATGTGAGCCACCTCTCCCAGCCTTTTTTTTTTAACCTTTTAAATTTTTATCTCATTAATTGATGTAATTATTTGGGTCTGTGAATCTGATTCACTTGTAATTTTTATGAAATCTGATTCATTTGTATTTTTTTCAAATACACTCCTGAAAATGTAGTGTCCAAAATGAGCTATGCTGAAAGTATAAAATATACACCAAGGGTTGGTCCAAGTGCAGTGGTGCTTACAACTAATGATCACAACCAGTTACAGATTCCTTTGTTCCTTCTCCACTCCCACTGCTTCCTTGACTAGAGAATATATATACAGGGTGGACATGTGCAATTTAAAATAGTTTAACATAGTAAACTGCACACGAACTTTATTTACACCCTGTATATATACACACCAGAATTTGAACACTTAGTCTAAGCAAAAAAGGACATAAAGTATCTCATTAACTTTTTATACTCGGCTCTGTGCCTGTGGCTCAAGTGGCTAAGGTGCCAGCCACATACGCCTAAGGTGGCAGGTTTGAATCCAGCCCAGGCCCTCCAAATGATGGCTGCAACCAAAAAATAGCCAGGCACTGTGGCAGGTGCCTGTGGTCCCAGCTACTTGGGAGGCTGAGGCAGGAGACTCGCTTGAGCGCAGGAGTTGGAGGTTGCTGTGAGCTGTGATGCTGGCACTCTACCCAGGGGGATAGCTTGAGGCTCTGTCTCAAAAAAAAAAACAAAACTTTTTATACTATCACATGGAAATGGTAATATTTTGGATAGTTAGGGGTAAATAAAATATTTTATTAAAAATTAATTTCACTGGATTCCTTTTTTTAAAAGGAGACTATTAGAGAATTTAAAACCAGGCATAGGCCTTACACAATATGTCAACTGGATAGCACTGCCCTTGAGTGAAAAGAGGAACTCAAAAGATAAGAGCCATTTAGGAGGATTAAGTCTGCAAAGAAAAATGTGCAGGGCAATACTGAGGCAAGGGCCACAGAAGCAAGAGAGGAGAGATTCTAGGAGAAAAGGGATGTTCCCAACTTGAATGATTACCTGCTGTAGTGTGAGGAGGACTTGAAAATGACTGTTGAGTTTTTACTTCTTGATCAACCTAAGAAAAGTAAAGAAACACAGTTTCACTCTGTCACCCAGGCTGGAGTGCAGTGGTGTCTTAATAGCTCACTGCAACTTCTAATGTCTGGCCTAAACCCATCCTCCTGCCTGAGCCTCCCAAGTAGCTGGGATTACAGGCATGCCATTATTCTTGGCTAATATTTTCTATTTTTTATTAAAGATGAGATCTTGATCTTGCTCAGGCTAGTCTTGAACTCCTGACCTGCCTCTGCTTCCCAGAGTGCTAGGATTATAGGCATGTATCCCAGCCCCAAGAACTTTTATTATTAAGAAAAAAAATGAGGCCAGGCATGGTGGCCCATGCCTGTAATCCTAGCACTCTGAGAGGCCAAGGCAGGATTGCTTGAGCTCACAAGTTCAAGACTAGCCTGGGCAAGAGTGACACTCCTTCTTTAAAACAAACAACAAAAAACTAGCCAGGCGCCTCTGTGGGCGCCTCTCCCAGATGCTTGGGAGGCTGAAGCAAAGGGATCGCTTGAGCCCAAATAAGAGTTTGAGATTACTGTGTGCTATGATGCCCTGGCATTCTACTGAGAGTGACAAAGTGAAACTCTGTCTCAACAACAACAACAACAACAAAAAAAAAAAAAAGAAAGAAAAAGAATGGTCCTTGTTGGTATAGTAGTGGATAAAAAATAAAAGGAAAGAAAAAGGAGAAAAGAAAAACATGCTAAAGAGAAGTTCATTAAACATTTAACTAAGGGAACTAGAAGAATAACAAAAAGAAATTATGAGAAGTGACTTAATGATATAATCTGAAATTTATTAAATAGAAGGCAAAAGGACACTATAAAATCAGGTAAAACATCCAACTATTTCCTCAGAAGACCAATATAATACAATCCTCATTTAAGATGTCAACTGGATAGCACTGCCCTTGAGTGAAAAGAGGAACTCCAATGGTAAGAGCCATTTATGAGGATAAGTCTGCAAAGAAAAATGTGCAGGTCAATACTGAGGCAAGGGCCACAGAAGCAAGAGAGGAGAGAATAAAAAAAAACATTAGGAATACAAAATAAAGATAAAGAAATGGGCACAGGGCGGCGCCTGTGGTTCAATGGGTAGGACGCTGGCCCCATATACTGAGGGCGGGTTCAAACCCGGCCCTGGAGCAAACTGCAACAGAAAATAGCTGGGTGTTGTGGCAGGCACCTGTAGTCCCAGCTACTCAGGAGGCTGAGGCGGCAAGAGAATGGCCTAAGCCCAGGAGTTGGAGGTTGCTGTGAGCTTTGACTCCATGGCATTCTACCGAGGGCAGTAAAGAGAGACTCTGTCTCTAAAAAAAAAAAAAAAAAGAAAGAAAGAAATGGGCACAAAAACTATTAAAA